AAGAACGGACTTGACGAGAACGCGAGTACGTACTCGCGTTCTCGTGAATTGAGAAACGCCCAATGTAATTAAATGCCATGTTTTCCAATAACTGACCCAAAAGTCAGTATATACAACGAGGACAGAAAAAGACTCAAAAATAGAACCCTGTGGAACTCCACAACGAAATGAGGAAAGATCAGAGGTATAGGAACCAAGATGCAAAGAAAATACCAACCTTCCAAATATGATTTAAATTAATGTAGGCCACTAACCTTACTGCTAAAATGGTTGTGAAGGCCCGAAAGCAATAAGTTATGATTGACAGTTTGAAATGCTGCTGTTTAATCTAAGAGTAGTAAAACATTAGAGCAGCTATAATGGAGAGTTATCAAAAAAATCTTAAAAGTGCTGTTTCAGTGCTGTAAACCAGCCTAAAAAACAGATTTAATTTTCTCTAAATTATTTGCTTCCAGATGAGTTTGCTCAAAATCTTACTTCCAATATCTTTGACAAAAATTCCAAATTTGATATTGGCTTATAACCTTCTAAGACTTCGGAATGTAGGTTTTACTTTTAAGCAAAGGCCTGTCTAAAAAAGCTTGGAAAAAAGCCTGAAGATAACAAACAAATTATAATCCCCAATTAAGGGGAAAATGTTTTAGAGGACAGAAGATCCTAACTGACTCAGATCACTGAGAGATACAGGGTCAAACATCTCAAAAAACAACAGAACAAGCTGAGTTCAGAGAAGGTCCCTTCAACCAAAACTCTGGGAAGCTGTCACACAAAAATTGGAGAAAATGCAGCATTACTGGATTCAACAGGACTTACTAGTCTATTAAACACATTAAACAGAACTTGCGGCCTGTTACTGTTTCTAAATATTTAGTGTCTATTAAACTTCAGTTTTGCATATCTTTACTGATCCCTGATAACAGCCCACACCATTTCTTAAAGTATTTAAATTGCCAAAGAACCATGATATTTTTCCTTTTTCTTCCTCCTCTCAGCCCATCTGTAGTATCGCCTAGGCACACAGGTGGAGTCATTTAACCATGGCTTACAGTAGTGCAGCCTCAGTCTTTTTGAAATCAAAGGAGCAAGTATGTCTGAAATCTAAGTGCTTGAGAAATAAAAAATGCTGTTAGTCACCTCAAAAGAACTGTACCACAGGCCCAGTGTGGGCTCAAGGGAAATAAAAGCATCTGAGAATCCCTCTGCTGTTGAAGAGTTAATTATGTACCCTGAACACACCACGGAACCCTGTAAATTAGGACTTTTAAAAAAATCCCTGACCAGAGGGTTCATGTCGCAGAAACATGTACATTAAAAATCACCAATTACTAAGACTGTCATACTTTCTGCTAAAACGATCTGAAAAATCCATTAGAAAAATCCTTTTTAAACTTTAGAGGACTACAAACAAGGGCAAATATGATGGGTACATTGCTCCTTACTTCAATCAACAGCAGTTCAAACCTCAAGAAGATTTCTGTTGGACATGTGTCTGCTTAAGAAATAATAGCAAAAAAAAGTAGACTGACTTCAGTCCAGTTTCCATTGGCTCTAAGTTATTTCTGTTGCTCAATCCATGTAAAAAACATTCAACAATGAACAATATTTAGTAAGATTTACTACACTCAATTGCTCTAAAAATGGGGAAACCCTGAGAACAGTTTAAAGCAGAGCTAATAAAACTTCATGATGACCAGTGTTGAAGCTGGTAACTTTCTCAAGATCTGAGAGCATGCACAAAAATCCTGAGCCACACCCTGTCCTGATTGATCCACAGTGTTTACACTCAGCTCTAAAGTGGATCTCTCACTTCGATCACATAGCTATGTGTGTGTTTGAGCCAGAGGTGTGACATTCCCCTGTTTCATGAGAGTAGCCAACACAGCAAACATGGCTTTGTCCTTATTGTTATTTGCTCAGCTGATTCATACTGTTGCTGCTGAATCATCCATTCTTCAAAATATTGGAAAAAAAAAAACTCTTATGAAATTACATAGTGAAATTCCACAGAATTTTAAGTCAAAGTGAACTGTACTATAACTAGCTGCTCTTATAGAGCGACTACAGCAGGGGAAGTATGTTGAAGCTTTTACATATTGCTCAAAGATTGGGAATATGTTTATGCTTGAATGTTATTTTGAAATAGTAATAGGATAAACTCTGGTTCTTTTTATCCTTTATAAAACAGCTCATCAAAAATATTTACCCATTATTTTGAAGTTATTTGTGGTGCAGTGTTCTGAGTCCAAAAACAGAATTGTACTGAGAACAAATCAGGAATGGCCAAACAATAGACTTTAAAGTTAGGATCTGCAAAATTGCTTCCTATTCAAGCTGCACGGAAGTGTTATTTCCTTATTTTCTTTCAATTAATCTGGACATAATCAGATCACTGCAAGTTCTCAAATACTGGTTAAACTGTTGCCACATAATTTCAAAGGCAATAATATAGATTCTGTCAGAATTAGACATTTCTGAAAATGTAGTTCTATTTTTAAGACCTTAAAATAGGAGCCGTTTTACCATTGGGACCAAAGTTAAAATATGCATCAGCTGCAGCACTGCTAAGCCTTTCCTTTCCCATTGTTTACATTTTCAGCCTTCATCTATAGCTCATTGAAAAAAACAGAATTGAGCTAAATGCATGCAGAAAAAACATATGTTTTATAATTGTGGTTTGAGTGAGAGTGTCTAAATATTCTACTGATATCTACTCAACAAATATACTCCACACAGAGATTTTTTAAAAAGCAAATTATTCCTGTAATGAAAACTTTCTTTATATGTTGACAAGAGCTGAACATTTCCTTTTTGCTAAACATTAGAATTAACGTGGACTGAGCTCAAGACAGGCTTAGACACTGCACCATATACCAGGACTGGCTTTTAAAGGAGAAGTCTGGTCAGATTCAGAATTCAAACTTCTGAAAGTACTTAAAATATGAAATTATTACTGTTCAATAAATGATAAGTGTTTTTAAATAAGAGTAATTTTCATTTGAATGTGCTTTACTGGAGGCACCCATGTTTGTCAAAGAGCACTCCACCTACCGGTTTGTGACGTCACAGTGCAGTATTGGCTGTCGAGCAAGTCCTAGTGCTGTATCTGGTGTTTGTCACAACACGATATTTTCCAAGTCTTGAAAACATTTTTTTAACTATAGTTTAACTATAACTCTCGCGAATTTCAATGGTGAAGTACTCTCAAATTCTTTGTTTGACACATCCGGTTATTATTGCACATCTGCAATCAAATTGCTGTTGATTGCAGATGTGTCTAGTAGTTCCCATTTATTTAGCTTGTTAAGTGGAGAATTGCCTTCAGCTTACCGCAACATGATGTCACTGCCGGAAGATGTCAGGAGTGAGGTATTACTATATTTGGGCAAAAATGGCCGTACCCAGACTCAGTGATTGTAACGAAAATTGTTTTTTTTATTTCTTTACTGATTAATGCTAAATTAATTAAATCACCGCAAACGTACTAGTTTTAGGTATACATAATGTTCCATAGATTATTCCTTGCTGACTGGACTTCTACTTTAATACACTACAGACAGATACTTGAATTTTAATCACATTTAAAATCTTTTGTTTATTTATGAAAACAAAACGTTAGCATAATTGGGGGAGAGACACACTTTAGAATTATGCACGCTGTCAATGAGGTAGCTCACATATTATTTAAAGAATGTTCTAACACATTGACTTTAATGGCAGTACACGTTAGAGGTGTGGTATTTTATCACTGAACTACGTATTAGAAGGTATTTCAGTTGGCTCCAGAGTTGAGGTAGACTGATACTTTGGCCAGCCAATATTTTTGGCCGATATTACCATTTATTTCTTGTATGGGC